ACATCGGGATAAATTAAGAAGCAGCCTAACATTTTTATATTTTACTTCAAAAGTCTTAAACTTTTAAATATTTTTTAAATATTTTAATAGTGATGTTTTAACGCGAGGGCAACTTCGGATTGAATGCGAAGGTTGAACGTGCATTCTGTACGTGCATTCAGTACTCCAAGCTAGTGTTGTGCTTTTACACATCGACATTTGTAGCAGTGCCCACACAGCATATATACTGTGTACAGTTAACAACGCCAGTGTTTTCTTGTTAGTACCATGTGCCTCTGAAGATGGTTTTACTAAAACCGAAACATGTAAGGCAAGAGTGAGAAAGAAGTGACCTAAAAAACATTGTTACACTCGACGGACTTTGTATTGATTTTATACTTGTTAAAGAATTATAAGAAATATCCAAATATAATAAACTGAAATTTTATTTTAACTCCTATATTAAAACTACAGCCGTCTAGTTGTCAAATCGCTTTAAGTAAAAGAGTCTTAAGATGTCGGTGACCATATTTTAATATTATACCCATAAGGACTCCACTAGAAGGGTCTACTACAAGGATTGTTTCGAAAAACAGTTAATGGCAACTAGAGTGATCAATTCTGTCGTGATAAAATATTTTTAACTGAGATTTGTTAAAAAAAGATACCTTCTTGTTTCACTACATGACAAGGCTCCTGACAATGTCGGCTTTCCAAGCTTCACCAGAAACAGAATGAAATAACTCAAACAGGGCAGGAAAATAAATCGAAACATGCACCAGATATTTACAGAGAATCGATTATCTATCACACTGAATCCTGTGAAGTACAGTAACAAGTAGGCTTATTTGTAGGGCTCTCATCTGTTCTAACAAGTCCGTATTTTACCCACACAGTATGTTTATATGTTTCATATGATTCCTACAACAAACAATGATTATTTCCCCGAAACATCATTAACTGGGTGAATGTACTCGTACATGGAGACTCAGCGTTCTATGTGAGGTAGTAACTGAAAGTTTAAAGGCCGCTCCATACCTCAAGCGGTTAGTCGCTGGCTTCCCACCGCGGCGGCCCGGGTTCGATCCCGGGTATGGTCAGTGGGATTTGTGGGGGACAAATTGGCGCTGGGGCAGGTTTTCGCGGAGTACTTCGGTTTCCCCTGTCAGTCTTCATTCCACCGAATTCTCCATCATCATAATCACCCGGAGTAGGCTACAATAGGCCAATCAGTGGCCGCCATGCCGAGTGGACCCAGTTGGACTCCACCCCTCACTAAGCGAATTTAAAATAAAGAACTGAATGTTTAACGCTTGATACTGTTGACGCCTATATATCCTCATCTTTATGGTATGCATCCTGTTGTACTTGTATGTGTACAGTAAGGCAAATGGGGCCGTCTACACAACAATGATATCTACAGAATCATAACAAACTAGATACTAATATGAGTTTGATTTGTTTCATTCTGGTCCGTCACACTAACAATTACAAATATAAATCACTCCGTCCAATGTGACCTGTAAGTTTTTTACTACATGAAAACTCAACACCCTTACATGTTTCGGTCTCTGTGGACCNAATTCAATTCAATTCAATTCTTTATTATTTATGTGCTGAGCCAACAGCCGTAAGGCCAATTATAGACTCAGCACAGTGTATGATAGAAGTAGTTACATTCTGGACAAACACAATATAAAGTCAAACAATGATTAAAGGTTAATGTTGGAGGAAAACAAATTAATACATATAAATAACATACATAATAATAATAATTCAATTCAATTAATTCAATTCAATTCAATTCTTAATTATTAATGTGCCGAGTCAACAGCCGCAAGGCCAATTTCAGACACAGCACAGTGCAGAAAAATGAATTACATTCTAGAAAAACTTATTAAATTACCATACAAATTACAAGTAAGTACTGAGAAGAAATAATAATGAATAAAAGTAAAATTATAAGCAAACAAACAAATAGCTGATATGGACTGAAACAGAAATATTTAATAAAAATACTAACAGTTATATTATATTTAAAATTTGTTTGGGTTGAACATTCCTGGCTCCGAATACGTCAACATCCCTGCAGACAACATTAGCAGCTGCTGCGCATCTAGCAGAGGGACAATTTTTAAATATGGAGCAAACATTGAACAATGCAAAATCTCTGATATACCGAGCAGGAACTCGGAGACCAACAATTTCCAGGGCAGAAGGGCAGAATTTAGAGCCAAAATAAACTTAAATAAGAAAGAGAGCATCAAGGCGATGTCTCCTAGTACATAAAGTATGTAATTTTAACTCCTCAAGAGCAAGAGAATAATGAGAGTCTGGACTTCGTTGCCCGAATGGGTAACACTCGGGAGGATTGAAATCTCGGCCTGGAGACCAGTTTCCCTGATTGAAGCTCGTTATAATTTTCTTCAGTTCTTCCGGGCAAATTCGCGAGAGGGGTATTTCAGATGACCCAAATGCTTAACTTTGGTGTGATGATACTATTACAGAAATGTGTTTTAAATCGGCTGTTAATAGGATCCCTAATTTAGCTTTTGTGATAACGGTGATGGAGCTCAGGTTCCGTAAATAAGGACATACTTGTATTTCCGAATAAACTGATATCCAGGAAATTATTTATACAGCAGGATTTGCCATCGTTAGGTAAGATTATTTTCTATTATTTTGGCACAATATTTATCGAAAATAATAATTTGCGTTGGTTTGTTTTTATTTATTGAATAAATCTAAGAAAATTGGAGGGGGAAAGTAAATCGGCCCCTCGGCATATCATCCTCTAAAGAAGAGAAGGCGAGCCTAGTGATCGGATTGGCTGTGCGACATTCACCACTCAATTGTTCATTCATGGACACATGAAGCTTCAATATATCGAAGGAAACGGTAAGGTAAATGGAAAGTTGTGCCTGAGCTTAATTAATCAAGCACCAAGCCTTGAGGACATATGTGGAGTGGAGGTATAGATGGAAGTATTCATAACGTCTACACTAGATTGAGGTATTCATAATCTAGGCACCAGGTGGAGATGGAGATTCACGCCCCGGGCCGTTTTACCTCCGGCGAAAGAAACTCCAGAATATCCCTTCTTTTTCTTGGATAGTACTTTTTATTTTGCCTCCTCAGAATCCGTACAAAACAATTCAAATTTTCTTGCATAAATGCATTAAAATTATCACATAACTCCGCATAAATATACGACGCCTGTTTGTCCAGTAAGAAAAGTATTTCAACTTTCATTCGGTAATGTTTACACCCCTGCGAGTAGGTACAGTGTCGTTTGCCTATGACCTTATTCGCAGATGCCCTCATTCACAATTTAGTAGTGGTGGGGACAGCTTGTCCCTGCACAAATCACCCCCAATGCGCATAAAAGTGTCTACTTGCAAAAGACAAGCTCTACCATTTCTCGTACAGTCGGATGTCCCGTCTAGCAGTTTAAGGTTCATCACTTTTACTTCTCTACTTTCTAGCGCCAAGGGTGGGATTGTCCTTCACTGACCCCATCCAGCAGATAAATGGAGGAGAAGGAGTCGCTTAGATTACCAGTAATTTCTGAAGCCATGATGAATTTGTATTTCTGTGGTTTTTATGGAAAATTGCATTACGTCGGAAAGTGATAAAATGCAAGATAGTGCACCTTTATTGTATTTTTTTGGACATTATGCATCGTCAGGAGATGGGGACTAGCTCTATCGATTGGGCCCAACTCAGTAGGTTCCACCTGAAGACGGAGACAGAAGCCAGTGACCCAAACATTATGTTTTAAATACAAACAATACAATGCATAATGTCGGAAACAGAATAATTATATTAATTGTATTAATATACGTGGCGGTAGCGTAGTTGGTTGAGGCACTGTGCTACAAGCCGGAAGGTCGCGGGTTGAAGTCCCGATGTGGTCATTGGATTTTTTTTTTAATTGACCTAATCCTTCCAGCCGCACTATGGCCCTGGGGTCGACTCAGCCTCTAACAGAAATGTGTACCAGGAATATTCTTGGAGGTAAAAGGCGGTCGGCATGTAGGGCTGAGAATCTTGCCGCCATCTATGAGCCGATTCTCTAGAAAATGTGGGAACCTCAACATCTCACAAGCCTATGGACCTCCACGGCCTGTTACAGGGATACCTTTACTTTTTTTCTACCATCGTGACAAACTTTTAGATCTTAGAGTACAACCTGAAAATATGCTTGGTATGAGGGAGTCAATAAGTAGGTCACAAATTGAAGTGAAACATCTGTAATGGACGTATTAGTTTTTCAATATGTATCACTAGGTAGCAACACAATCCAGCTTCATGACAATGTAGGTAGCAGACGCGCACGCGCGTATTCAGAGGCTGGCTTCAGTAGTCACAATTGGCGACCGTGCTTGAGGAGTATACTACCTAAGATCAGAGTTCTCTTGTGCTTTTTTTTGTGTGAACAAAGGACTCAGTGCAAAGGATATTCGCAAATAATTGTTTGCTGTATTGGGTATGAAATGTTTGTCGCGTAAAGTGGTTCACAACTGGGTGGCAAACGTTTCGCTGACGAAGAAGTGGTTGAAATGGAGGTACGGAAGTGGCTGAGACAACAATCGAAAGATTTGTATGCTGCGGATTTCGACCCACTGGTAAAGCGATGCAAGAAGTGTATTAATGTTGGTGGAGGATATGACAAGAAATATTCCCCCCCCCCGGGTTCGAATATCACATGTTTTACGTTTTATACCCATCTGTGACCCATTTACTGACTCTCCCTCGTAAATGAAGCAAGTGCAAACTGAGTGAGGTTATGTCAATAAAGCGCAGTACTGCCCGTTTTTTGACACAATGAAATAGGCTGTTGACAGGAACACATCACTTGATAAACGTCTAAAATCGTTTTGTTCCCTTTAAAATAATGTTCAGTGACGTAACATCCTTTTCTGTACCACCACAGATTTATCCTAGACTCTCGTCACTTAAGTTTCGACGCCTTTTCCTTGCAAACAGACTCTCGATTTCTTGAAGGGATTTACCCTCTGTCTCTGGTAACTGAAAGTACAAGTACACTAAACATATACAATTGATGACTCCGAAGAACCAGAAGGTACCATGCAGGTGAAGGCTCTTCTCCGTGGATAGATATGTTTTGGAGGCGAAGAATGCTACCAGATACATGGACGCGGCAGATAAACCTCCCGCGACGCCTCGCGTCCTGCACAGGAAGATAGATTTGTGTCAATCCCTTGATTCGATCACGATCACAAATACAGTGAATCTCGCTCCCCAAGGATCAAGCAATCTTGAGAGCAAGGAAGTCGGAAAACGACTACAGATCACTTCTGTATATTTTGGAATATGCCTGAAGGATCATAGCTCGATGAGAGCAAACCAGGCCTGAAGAAGGGAGAGATTTATCATTTTGATGGGGTTTAGCTTTTCGACATAGTGTATATACTAAAATACGATACAAATTACAATTTAATTAACTGAAGTTTGTTTCCTTACGTTGATTACGCGTTGTTAAACCCCCAGAATATTTCGGTCATACAAGACCATTTTCAGGAGCTGTGCCATATTAAAGGGAACCTTTAGACTTCACATATATAAAAATAAGGGTTTTGAAATATTTTAGTCATTAATCTTCTTAAAATGGTTAAAAACTAATTAACTGAAATCTACATCAATGAATTTGAACATAATATTAAGTTTTAAATTTTGTAAGAATTTAATGACAAAGATATTTTAAACCCTTTATTTTTGTGTAGAACCTGTGTGATTTATGATGTTTCCTTTCATAGGGTGCACCACCTGAAGTTGGCGTTGAAATGCTGAAATATGTCAGGGTTTTAACAACGTGCAGTCAACGTGAGGAAATAAACTAGGTATACTCAGATGGTAACTTACACCTTATTTTGATAGAAGATTTGCGTGTTGACAGCCACGGGATGGCTGCATATATGAGAGGGGGTTGAGAAATAATACGTAGAAGAAGAGTAGGTAACATGGGAAATTAATGAGAGATGTGAGAGACGCTTTATTTAAGAGAAAGAAACCGAGCAATTTGGCTGAAGGTTAACGCTCCTAATTTGGATTCGGGATATATCCGATTCGAATCTTGGCCGAGACACTGATTTTCGTGGTTGTCATCAGTCCTCCCAAGAAGATGTAGGAAAAATACTTTATATTAGGCCACGACTGATTCCTTCCGCATAATTTCCAATTCATTGTATAATTATTATTCATTATTCGAAGCTATATAATACTGAGTTACTGGCAAAAGTCATTAAAGAAATAACATAGTACATACAGAATTATTGGGTTTTTGGATTGATTGATTGAGATTCGCTCTTTCTAAGGGGCCCAACTGAGGTGACGTCCTTTCTCACCTGAAGACGGAAACAGATCCAGTTTCCGAAACGTCGTGTCCTCTATTACTTAAAGTGTCCGCTATTACATAGAATTCCGGACGATGGAAAAAGTCCAAAAACCCAGTCAATCACCATTGTCAGAGCCCTTTAGAATCTGCATAGTACATATTTCGAGGGGAGAAGGACGCTCAGTTTATTAGAAGGTTCCTAAGTTTTGACAGTTCGTCCGTCTGATAAGATTATATCAAAGTGAAGACGCTGAGAATTACAGTCCGTTTAAAAGTTGGTTTGAGGTTACGTCATCCTTGAGCAGGCAAAGTTATGGAAGAAATATTCTGTGTGTTCAACGCTAATTGCTTTTAAATTCGCTTAGTAGGGGTGGAGTCCAGCTGGGACCACTCGGCACGGCGGCCACTGACTGCCCTACTGTACCTGCCCCGGGTGATTATGATGCTAGAGAATTTGGTGGAATGAAGATTGGCAGGGGAAACCGAAGTACTCGCAGAAAACCCGCCCCAGCGCCAATTTATCTACCACAAATCCCACCTGACCAGACCCGGGATCGAACCCGAGCCGCCGCGTTGGGAAGCCAGCCTCTAACCGCTTGAGCTATCTGTGTTCAACGCTGTCTCTCATGATGTAATTGTCTACGTCACCAAGCTTATGATGGCTTGCTGCGCCCTATACTGTCAGACACGTACCTGAAAGGGAAGCACTCGGCTACCAGAAGCCACGGAAGCTGGCACTGTGCGGTGGAAGCAAATGAGAGCAAGGCGAAGAGCACTATTGGTATCCATCTGACCGGGTTCGAGCTCTCCCCCGCGTCACTGACCGGTCTGATAACAAGAGAGGCGTACAGTCCCAGGAGTAGACACGATACCGCACACGCGGCCGTGGTTGAGAGTCCCAGTATCCGCTTGCCGAGTCCCCTTACGGACGCTATCAGGAACGTGCTGCCCACGAAGCCTGATGCTGCCACCACAACCTGCAGTGCAACCCAATTGCATGTAATCACTGAGTTAGGTGCTCCTTTCACAAAGCAGATTCTTCTGTTTTAAAACTCAGAAGATTCTGCGTGATGTATGAACGTTGCGGGAGAATTACTTCGCTATGTTGTATGTAACGTTATTTATTACTGATAAAAGTCTATTGTTGTGACGCTAATCACAGAGCAGAATGCCAGAAATTTTGATTCCGTGCATTCCGCACAAATTATGCCAATATCGCTTTCTTTCACATCCTTCTTAAGTCATTTTTCACTAAATATCCTACCATTCAGTTTTACATAGTACGCATACACTAAGGTGTTTAATTAAATAAACCACAAATAAATTAATTCCGCTTTACAATAGAGTTGTACTGATTCTGTGTGAGATTGTGGTACCATAGAACGTTGCACGCGTTGGGTGCAAGTAATACTAATATTTCCAGTAGGTGGATCTGCCAGCAACCTCCATCTGTCGTCATTTTCATTAACAATTTGGAACCTGCGTAGCGTATTTCTTCGTTGTTAGAAGATATAGTAATATGGTTGTGGATATATGAAACGGAAATTTTAATCCTAAATAAATAAATAAATAAATAAATAAAGTACTTACTGAGCTCCATTTAGGATCCAGTGGGGACTGGAACCTTTGTAATACTTCAACCATAAAAGGTTTGATAGACATCATTCCTCCCATCCCAGAAAACAGGAAAATGGCGAACACAAGAATCAACGGTCGCAAAGTTTCCGGTTCTAGAAGTAGCTTCAGGCTGGCCACAAACTTGGACCATTTGCTGACATGTTTACTCTTCTCGCAGGCTTCTAGAGTCATTTCCGACAAAGGACAGTTCTCTAAAGCCAGTGCCGAATTTTTTCTCTGTATTGTCACTTGAGTGTTTTCTGTTGTCTCTTTGGTTATTAGGTCGCCGTTCGTAGATTGTTTGCCGTTTTGTGTTAGTAGACTCGTCTGTTCAGGGGTCTCATGTAGTTTGTTGCCATCAAACGTCTGCATACAAGGTTTGTCTTCTTTCGAGTTTCGTTTGAATTTACTGGTGTAATCAGCAGGTTTCATTGTCGCAGTCCTATGATATGTCACGAGTTCTTCTAATTCTTTTTCCACGACGCTCGGATGAACCCATCCACGCAGCCAGCACAGGGCAGCCTCTGCGTCTTTCCTTCTTCCTTGCTCAATGAGCCATATTGGCGACTCGGGGACCTGAGGTAACAGGAAAAGTTTACTGGCCTCCTCTCTTTACTTTACAGGGTAAAAAAATTATGACAAATTCTCATTATCAGCTTCTTTACAGGACTGATGACTAAAGAAGAAAAGAAAGATAAATGAGAGGAATTTTGGAGAGATACAAAAAAATTCCGGCTTAGAAGGTTCTGAGGCAGTGCCCTCTCGTCCTTCTGGCAGAAGTAATAAAAAGTAAGAAATGTTTCAGGAAGTGACCTATGTTATGAGCGCAGAAGAGAAGTTGATCAAGGCTTTACTGCTTATGGGAAATTTGAATTAACCCAAATAACGTGTAAAATTCTGTTCTTATCTCACAGAAAACATTTACTACCCCATTATAAAGACTAATCCGTTATTACCGTTTAAGAATAATCGCTGTTAATTCGGAAAATAACAGGAAAACCACGAAGACACAGTGTGGGCAAAATTTAGTTTTTTCTTAATGTTAAAGCAAGTGGTACATATTAGAACCACTATACTTTAAAAGGCAATACCGTAATTTTCTCAACAGATTTCACCCCATGGATGATTCAAACAAGGCGGGTTTGCGAATTTCTGAAATGGGGCGACGACAAAGTTATTCGGTTAGCTTCTGACATTTTATATGGCTAAAGATAATTTAAAGCCGGTCATGGTAGCCGAGTGGTCTAAGGCATGTATGTCTTATCTCGCTTGGAAACCGGGATCGTGAGTTCGAATCCCACTCAGGGCATGGATGTTTAGTTTGTGTCAGTGCGTCTTTCTGTGTTTGTGTACAGGTAGAATCCTTGAGACGAGCTGATCACCCGCCCAAGGAGTCCTACAGAATGTGTAAGATCTAGAAAAATCGAAGTGAACGAAGAAGTTCATGGAGGTAGGCCTTGGCCCACTGGGGCTGTAGTGCCAAAGGAAAAAAAGAGATAATTTAAAATAAATTTTTATTTAATTTTCAAAAACATGCCTTTAACTTCGGGACTATAGCCCCCTGAATTTAGGTCCTGCAGATTGTGTAATATTGCTAGAATACGTCTAAATTAAGGTATGTAAATGTATTATGAAATCAGTAAACTGGTAATTGAATGTGAAAGAAAGTCCTTGGAAGCATGCCCAAGTCGAAAACACGGGAGTAGATATGATCATATTGAAATGGTTTTTAAGGACAAGAGTTTTCAAGACTTTTATGAGTTTCTGTGGTGAGCTGTGGACGTGTTACCGGTATGAGTAGCAGCAGCGTCAGGATTGGCATGACAGTTGACACTGCGGCTGTTGTCCTCCAGTGCATGAAACTGCCGAGTAAGAATACTAAGAACATCCCGAACTGGTAGTACAGGGCTGCAACACACAAGGCGTTCTTTGCTATAAAATAAACTGTTACACATTTTTAATCATCTTTAGGGCAGCCTGAAGCACCTAGGAGAATGCAATACGGTTCTCTAACCCAGAAGACTAAATCGTCACTGTCGTGGGAATCTAAAATCTGATACAGGGCACTTCACAACAACTACAGCCTGAAGGAAGTCCCCGTTCTATGAAGTTGATTTAAATAACGTAGAATGAAGCAAAGACTTACACGCACTGCCTGCCAGGACACTCCGAAACTCTGGCTCACAGATCTCGCCAAAGTAACTGTTGAGTGGAGCCTCTGTCAAACCAACTGTCATGCCCACGACTACGTTTGCTATGAAAAGTACGGAGACAGAGGGGGCCGTACTCACAAGCACGCAGCTTAGGAGATAGGGCAGGGTGATGAGCATCAGAGACCTCTTGCGGCCTAACCATGTTACCAAGAATCCTGAGGCGATGCTACCAACTGGCTGGCAAAGGTAGGGAAGTCCACCTGAAGCAATGTCCAAAAGAACCAAGTCAAAGTTTACAGGTTTCCAAGTTCATGGCTGCATAATAAGAGAATAAAAAAAAACAATTGGTATATTATGGCAACTAATTTAAGGACACATCAGCATGTATGGTGATTACGAGCTACTGAATTAGAAATGATAAGAAAGGAGGTGGTTGTGTCCCAATATGATGTTCTATTCCGGCGCATGCTTGGAGGGACTGAGGAAAGTGCAAAATACTTCAGTCAGCATAGCCAGTCTCCGAATCGGATTCGAACCCAGTTTCGGTATTCGAAAGAAGAATTGTCTAGGAGTAAAAGCTTCCATGTAAAGATTAACAGGTTTGATGCCAGACGGTTTTGGGTCGCATTTTTCTGTGTACTTTCTTCGTCGATCACTTCTGCCAAAGTCAGGAGCTTCGTTAATATGAGGATTGCCAAAATGCTGTATCGCAGTGTTTTCCGTAAATGAATACGGATATTTAATTTGAGTTTCAGAACCCTGATAGAAACCAAAATTACCTGCTTGGCGCCTGCTTCTGTCGGTTACTTGCGTGGCTTATACTTCAAATTTGAAAGCGGAGGTTATATGTTCCCCTGAAGTCAGGATTTCTTCTTGCTACGCGGCGTTGCAATCCAGACGATCGCACCCTTCATAATCAAACCACATACTTTTTTTTTCTTTGGCACTACAAACCCAGTGGGCCTAGGCCTACCTCCTTGAACATCTCTGTTCACTTCGGTTTTTCTGGATCTTACACATGCGGTAAGACTCCTTGGGCGGGTGATCATCTCGTCGCAAGGCCTCTACCTGTACACAAACACAGAAAAACGCACACAAACATCCACGCCCTGAGTGGGATTCGAACCCACGATGCCGGTTTCCAAGCGAGCGAAGAGAGTACATACCTTAGACCGCTCGGCTACCGTGACCGGCAAACAACATACTTAAAGACGTGCAAAGTGATGTTCTCTGATGTCCAACAGGGTAAATGGAAGTTAGGTGAACTTGAGGAATGAGTATGTTAATAGTAATTTAATTAATTTCAAACAACTGAAGAACGTTACAGAATCTGAATCAACATGAAAGCTTACCGAACCAGGAGGCCTGCGTGTCGTCCAAGGAAAGCTCTTTCGATGGGTCATGTAGATCAGCGATGATAAGGGTTGACAAGAAGAACGTGACCGCCATGTCTAAAACAACACAGTTTACCGCTCCCATTGCCAAAACCTGCCGACACATTGCTCTGTTATTGTTGTACCTGTTGACAGTCCCATGTGGGGCAGCAGAGACGGAACAAACCCGAGAAACGTAATCTGTAGTGAGTGACTTCTGCCAGTACCTGCTTTTGCCCCGAAAAAATTAAAATGTCCATAGTTCACACCTTTTTGCAGTTCGAAGCATTATGATTGTCCGAAACGTTGGTAACTACTTACGAGACCGCACGGTGTCATAACCCAGAAAACCATATTTTTAGAACAGAGTTAGATTCCAAATTTTCTGTTAGATATATATATATAGATATCACAGGTCTACAATAATGTAGAAGAAGTAGCATGACGAGTAGAAATGACATATATATATATACTATAACGTACATCATATACAGTGTATAAAATTCATTCCTATATTAAATTCCCCCTTCGAAGTTTTTAAGCGTGTTTCTTCCCAGTGCAAAATGAATTAATATGCTTACCTGAGGTAGGATTTCTCTGAAGCGGCTAATGGTTCTGCCTTGTTTCTTCTCTGACAACGGCGCCCCCGTGTCGACCATACTGGAAAGGAAATAAAATAAAGAAATATAATTAGAATATCTGGAATTTTAAAATACCGTATTTACGCATGTACAGGCCGCACATTTTTTGCCAAAAATTCAAGAGGAAAACTGGAGTGCGGCTTATATTCGAAATATTCGAAATCACACTTCATTTAAAAAAATTATATTCATAATTAGTAATACAGGGTGTAATACTCCTGAAATAATATTCCAAGAAAATTATTTTTTCTATAATTTCTGTCTGAAAGTTGTGCTGCGGCCTATACATGCGTAAATACGGTATGTTACCTCTCAAATATTACATGAAGACCCATTGCTGGACAACGGCAGCAAGGTAAGTAAATATACAACACATATTACTGAGTAACGGCTTAACAAACAAGAATGTTCCTATGGCAGCACTTAAACTGCAACAATGAGGAACGGTGTTTTCAGTGCGGTCAGTGCAAATATGTTATAAGCGAGACAAGTTGGGAGCTGCAGTCAGTCAGTCAATGGAGTGTAGTGAGTTGGTTGATGAGGGAGCGAGTTAGTGAGATAACCTCTGAGTTTCAGTCGTTGTGAACTGCTGCTGTGAGAAGCTGATAGCTAAGGCAGGGAGCACAAAAGAAAGGGGTCGTCAGCCGTTGGAAGCCTCTACCGAGCAACTGCTAGTGACGACGTGACTGTGGACACCAGTGTGTATGTGTGATAGTGAATTGTAAAGTGTAGCCACGCGCTGTATCAAGGAATCCAATAAATCCGACCATCACTATAAAATCCGTCTATAGTCACTCATACACCTGACAATGTTTATTTTTTTGCGCTTGTAGAGGGCCGAGATACTAGCCCTGTAAAGTAGGTGAAAGTAAATCTATGCTTGCAACAGACCTTGAAGGTCCACAGGATTGTGAGACGTCGAGGTCTCCGTATTTTCTAGACAATCGGCACACAGATGGCGGTTAGATCCGCCTTAAGCTCCAGCCGCCCACAACCCCCCCCCCCNTTTTTGGCACTCATTTCTATCAGAGGCTGAGTTGACCCCAGAGCCATATTTCGGCTGGAAGGATTAGGTCAATTGAAAAATCCAATGACCTCATCGGGAATCAAACCCAAGACCTTCCGGCTTTTAATACTGTGCCTGAACCAACTACTCTACCGCATGCCCTCAGTATCCCTGTATGACGGATAATTCAATATAATTCACAATCGCACAAGTTATTCCTTTAAGATAAATTTTAGTATTGACCTCCCATCTATGCCTATGAATCCGAAGTTATTTGTTCCCTCCAGATATTACGTCTAAACCATGTACATATTCCCTACCTTGTCCGCGTTGCTACATGTCCCGCCGAACTCATTCTCCGCGAACTGATGTATCCAAAACATTGATGAAGAGGACAAGTTATGAAGCTTATCTTTGTGTCTTCCTTTTCCTTCTGTTTATTTTTTTTTTCGGGTTCAAATATTCTCAGGACTTTGTTCTCAACGTCATTAATCTTCGTAGGATTCGAGGCTGTCACAGCGATGGTTACGATATAACGCCATGTAGTCTGTTGGAAAGTCAACTGGAGTTCTGTAGTATTATGTCAATCCCGTTTTCACGGTTGGAGAGTAAAACGAGAAAGCATCCAGGAGGAAGCATACAGGCAGCATGCAAAGTTCCTAATTTCAGATGAGCCAGCAAATTTCACACCAATACAAAAGAAAAAAAAAACTGGTTTTAGTCCGCAAGCGAACTATACCGACCGAGCGACCGCCGCTTGTCGGCGAAGATAGTGCCAAATTCAGTGGATTGAGGGTGTCGCGTGGTCAGGGCAACGGATCCCAATGACCCTTAATTTCGGTTTTGTAGACCGGAGCCGCTATTTCCATGAAATAGCTCCTCAATTATACTCACGCGTCTGAGTGGATCCGGTTTCAGACCCACTACACTAATATAAACTAATTTTATTTATTGTCATTGTTAATATAATAATAATAATGACTCAAATTAATAAGTCATGAAAAGTCGTGAAAATTCCAGAAACACCAAATACAAAATGTTAATCCTCTTGCTTTCCCTGTACTTCTACATGGGAGTGAATGCGAAAACAAAACACAGAATCAGAATGACAGTTGCTGAAATGATGGTTAAGGACGAAAAGCGAAATACATGCAGATGGGCCATGAAAGAAATAAAGACATAATAAATTAAAAACAGTATTCATGTTAAACAACATTTCTAAATACAATACGCACTGGATTCAACACATCGATAGAACGCAAAGGAAAGATTTGGGGAATTATTAAAACTTTCTAGCACAGTGATTGCTATATGTTACACTTGCTTCAGCATACTAAAAATCTGCATTTTGCCCTCAGGATATATCCTTTTCTTGTGGTTCTCACAATAAACACAAATTTTTTTCCGTCTAAGCAGCATTAATGATGGATCTTTATAGCGGAGATGTGATGTGCTTCCTGTGAGGTACGAACAGAAGAATTTCCGGCTTTAGCTAAGAAAAAATCACAAACCATATGGGCCAAGACCTTTGGATATACTGCTGAACGGATGAGAGCAGAATGGGTGGGCGTTGGTGGTGGTAATGGTGATAGTCTTACTGTGGTACAAGATGTTTCTCGCCTCCTCCCCGGCCCCTCCACCTGCTTAATAACCTCGAGTCTGCGTTATGTTGGCCGTGAGAATTTCGTGTCCATTATATTTAAGAAAACGAGAAAGAACTTACGACATTTTAAGTGTTACGTCCTCCTTCAGCCAGAGTAAGAAATTATTTGAAGTGTGTATGTGTCCTTATAGAGGCCTACAAGCAGTAAACACGTGATATTTGTTGTAATTCTATTAAGATACAAGAATCAACGATTATGGGTACGTGTATTATTACACAATATAGGTCTGTATGAAAAGAACTTACTCTGTATACAGAGTGTTCCAATGATGCTTGCGATGCGTGTTGCATCTTGAATTTGTTGTAGCTATACTGAAGCTTCTAAAAGGAGATTCATGATTGGTGGAAATGACAGTGCTAGAGGTTTTATATTCTCTACCTTCTGTTGTTCTGCCCCAACTCCTCTGGCCTATGTTAATGAGCCCACAGCATATATCACTAGTTAATGTTATCAGGGCTAGTTTTCGTGTGAACAGAACGGCCAGACGTTTGCAGCCAAATAGAAGGAAACTCTGAAGAGGAAAGAATAGTATCTCGGCGGATTGATCCATGGGAATTCAATAAGAATGAAAGATTTTTCGCAAGAAGGAAGTTTTTTATATGTGTGTTTCCCACACTGATATTATGATGGTTAAATAGAAGCGTAATAGGAAATTTGTATGCTGAAAATTCTTGGCATGTGCCCGCTTTAAAGTGAAGGCCTAATCTAGAACACAGTCTAATATACAAATTCGTGTTAGACAGATCCTCCAACAGAGAGAAGGCAAAACAATTAGCAGTGACCCGCCCACATAAACTGTGCAAGCTGAAAACATCGACATAATTTTCGGACGGCTCTTACCATTGTCGTGATACAATAAAAGCCGTCGTGTTCCGAAATGGACAGTAGGATGGTGAAGATTGGACATATGTCTCCATTACTTGACTCGCCTTCTCTTTGTTGGAGGAAAGTATACAGTATCCTACTTAGAAATTAGTGTACACTCATTCTTGTGGCACATGGCGAAGTGTGATTTTCAGCGCGTCTGCTTCGGTCCCAGGAGGTATTCGGTTTTAATCTCAGACGAGACAATCTGCTTAAACTGATGAGTGGGCTTTTCCCGCTTCCCCAGGAACATTTCCGGCAAATATTTCAAACACGGCGTTTCTTCCAATTTTATTGTATTTGTAGCTGTCCTCTTTCGACTCCTTTGTATTCCATCTTCATGGTTCAACAGTCGAATTAATATGTGTGGAAGTACAGTTTACCTGGTTCCTGAACTGGCTCGTCGTAGTAAATATACGTATATACTTGAACTGTCCAAAATGTGTGTGCTTATTGATTGCTTTTCTCTTCTTTCCCGTGCTTTGGGTGAGATGGATCATATATATAGCTTTAAAGTGAGTTATCTCAAGAAAATATTTATTTATTAAGAAGATTGTTGTAAGTTTCATACTGACTAAGAAACTAACTGACTCGTGGAGTAGACTTCTTGAGAAGCTAGTTGCTGAGCTATTCAAAAAATATATAGCATGGAACCCGAACATGTATTACCATGTTCCCACAGGAGCCCGGCACTGGCTCCTTAACTGAGCCATATGAAGGCCGCGCCATAGCTCAAGCGGTTAGTCGCTGGCTTCCCACCGCGGCGGCCAGGGTTCGATCCCGGGTCTGGTCAAGTGGGATTTGTGGCGGACAAAGTGGCGCTAGGGCGGGTTTTCTCCAAGTGCTTCGGTTTCCCCTGCCAATCTTCATTCCACCAAATTCTCCATCATCATAATCACCTGGGGTAGGCTACGACAGGCCAATCAGCGGCCGCCGTGTCGAGTGGACCCAGTTGGACTCCACCCCCAATAAGCGAATTAAAAAAAATCATATGAATCAATCCACACCCTCCCACCCTGTTTCTTTAATATCTATCCTCCAGCTAAAGTGTGGGGGGGGGGCGCGGAGAGGGCTAATAATTCCTCTCGCCAGAAAAAAAGGACGCATTACCCTGGGCCTCGTTTTATCTACTCATGAGGACATTTGCTTTACACTCTGTATATGAAGCACACAGAGAATGCGAAGATTAATGAAAGAAACTTTTGTTTACAGACTGCTCCATATCTTCTCCGTTAACAACAGCACTTATATACAATTACGTAACACTACGAGCCTTTTGCGGAGGCAGTTACATTGAACTTTATAGATGAGATCATTGAATTTTTTAATCGACCTAATTATTCCAGTCGCAGTGTGGCCCTGGGTTCGACTCAGCCTCTAACAGAAATGAGTACCAGGAATACTCCTGGGGGTAAACGGCGGTCGGGGCTTAAGGCTGACAACCTTACCGCCATCTGTGAGCCGATTGACTAGAAAATGTGTGAGCCTCAACATCTCACAACCCTACGGGCCTACACGGCCTGTTACAGGGATAGTTTTATGCATTTTTTAGTGTTATACTCGTACCTACGTTCAGGTTTCCAGAACAGTCTGTTCATACTACGATTTAACCAAAATTGTACGTGTAGTATGTGTTGCGTGCTCCCCTGCCACAGACACTCAAGTTATTACAATTTGGCTAGAATGGAATCCAAGTATATCGTGCACAAATTCGCAATTTTTGTGTTCGAGGCTACGTCTATTGTCGTTGTAAAATAGAACTAGTTGTTATTACAATTGATTTCACTGCTATCTTTTCTTGTAGGCAGAATGAAAGCCTGATAAGAAAGGCGTGAAAGGAAAACAAATACACAACCGGAAATGTGCACATGACGAACCGTAAGACAGTTATTATCCAGCCAAAGAACAAATAATATTACCAGGCGAAGAGTACAGCAGGTGGTACATATAAAAACCGTGTGTATTTATATGTTCATATTGGACGATATATTTGCCGTTTAGAGTCACTGTTAATCTTAGGGTGGCGATAATATGAAACGAAGGTGAGGAGGGAATAAGGAAATTATTTCTCCTGGCGCAAAGTGTCCTAATGCGATTCTGCTGCTTTACACATGCATAAGCTCTTACGTACTATTGTACGGAGTGATTACTGATAACGGCGCCCTTGACGAAGAATTATAAAAGCGTGTTTTATTTATTGAGGGTCGGCTTTAATAAGGGGGGGACCGGAGTGTTCGCCCCGGAGTCTCCATAACACCGAAATATAATTCCGAGTTTTCAGTGAGATATTTGCTTCTTTAAAGTTATTATAAGGAACAAGAAAAACAAGAAAAGAATTATCATAAACTAATTCTGTTGTTTCTGATAGGGGTCTCCATGTTTTGATTGCCCCCAGGGGGGTCCCACAACCGTAAACTGGCCTCTGAATCCACTCATGACAGCTGTTTGACTTGTAAGTGTACACAACGATATGTAAACCTAGTAGATGTCCATCAGGGCCGGTCACGGTAGCCGAGCGGTCTAAGGCATGTACTATCTTCGCTCGCTTGGATACCGGGCTCGTGGGTTCGAATCCCACTCAGGGCATGGATGTTTAGTTTGTGCGTGTGCCTTTTTCTGTGTTTGTGTACAGGTAGAGGCCTTGCGACGAGCTGATCACCCGCCCAGGGCGTCCTACCGAATGTGTATGATCTAGAAAAAACTGAAGTGAACGGAGAAGTTCATGGAGGTAGGCCTAGGCCCACTGAGGCTGTAGTGCCAAGGAAAAGGAAAAGAAACAAAGGTGTCCATCAGATTGCGGAACCATCATGGGAACGTGGAAGTCGCTTTTGATGGCGCATATTTAGAGGCGTTATTATACCAGATATTTTGTACAGATTTGCGCAAATATTTTATTGCTACAATCCTTATTCAATATCATTTCCTTGCATATGACAACGTAGCGTAGTTAGATGAGGCCCTATGCTACAAGCCGGAAAGTCGCGGGATCGAATCCCGATGAGGTGGATTTTTTTTTTCAATTTACTTATTCCTTCCAGCCGCACTATGGCCCTGGGGTCGACTCAGCCTCTAACATAAATGAGTACCAGGAATATTCCTGGGGGTAAAGGGCGGCCAGCACGTCAGGGTGACAACCTTACCACCACCTGTGAGCCGATTGTCTAGAAAATGTGGGAACCTCAACGTCTCACAACCCTATGGGCCACCACGGCCTGTTACAGGGACAGCTTTACTTTATGACTTTATTTAGGACCCCTTTATTTTCTAACTAATGCAAATTAATTCTAATGAATAAAGCTTATACATACATTGGCATAATGAATTAGGAAACATATCAGATACGCATATATTCAAGGACTGGAAATATATATGGTACCTAACCTTGATGTGAGAATATATTGTTTATTAAATTATCCAAACTAAACCATAACATCTTGTCAACATTTAACGTGTATATATAATACTATGCTTTATCGAAATCGGTTGGGTAGTTTGTGCTGTGACAGAGGAACACAGCTACCTTTACATGTTTTAATTGCACGTATATACACAGGATTAGTTTTGTTTCGTCTCATATCTGTGCGTATAGCTACAGGGAGCTAATTAGATTTCATCATCGGGAAGTAGTGGGATTTACACCCCTGCTATTACGGGGCTGGTTGCTGGATTTTAATTCAGGGGTTATAATATCATGTACTGGAAAAACTGCGATGCCCTGCCAGCTGGTCCGCTCGCCTGCTCTGTACGTTAGAGCGATGTACTCCCTTTATGTTTACTGTTGACGCCGTTCAGCGTGTTGCTTTGACGGGACTGCTACCGGCAAAGATTCGCTCAATATCCTCAAGGGACTTTCCCTCTGTTTCTGGAAGCAGGAAGTAGAGGAAGGCGAAGCAGAAGCTGTTGACTGCGCCGTAGAGCCAGAAAGAACCGTACAGCTGCAGACTCTGCTGTATGTTGAGGAATGTCTTAGCGCCCAAGAAGGACATAAAGTAGCTAACAGCTGCAGCCATTCCGCTGGCAAATCCCCTCGTCCTGCACAGGAATACAGATGAATTCATCGAGCCCTCCACAATTAGTTGCACCGTAATTGATAGTAGATGGAAAAATGTGGGAACGTGTTAAATGTTACACTTACTCGTGGATGATGATGGATGATGAACCAGAAACTAAACATATGTATACGTAAATTAGCATGTTAATATGTGAGAGCGGAGCTTCTCTTTTCTGTGAATATGAAGAATTGTGTCTTCTGGGATGTAATCCCGAATAATCTGACAGATAGTTCCAGCCTTTCGGAGGTACCTGCTACCTCCTCTTGGAGGAGTGTCTTCTACTATAAAGATGAAGTCAAATCGTACTTCTGAAAGCGTGGTAAATTTCTAACTAATTTCATGGCACCACATCCCAGAAGAAAACAATCTTCATTTCGTTAGTACGAGTAATTTACTTTGTTTCTTACAAATATATCGTTGAAACAAAATTTTGTGCGCCTGGAATATCATTCGACAGGCCGGTGGTTCGACCTATCTGTGCGATCAGTCATGTACGAGTATTTGCAACAGTGTTGCCCTCTCTTCACAACATTTTTGAGGGTGCATAATATCATGAGCGGGCAACGTTGTCAAAGAAATGACAGAGAACCCCCGTGTGGTTACTGTGGCTCCATCTGGTGCTGAAAGTAGAATATAGTAACGCTCCAATCATAACAAGATTGTCTGTACCGATATCTAATGAAGACGCACCTTCAGAAACATTTCAGACAAAGATAAAAAAACTGAAGTATTCCCTGTGCTTATTTAATCAATTAAACACAACTCCACGAAGACGCATGGAGGAGCGGAGTTATAGCTCCACCATTCTTGATCTCGGCGCTAATTGGTGTTAAGTGATCAGCTTCACGTCCATGTCGCTTTACCCCCGAGTAAAAGTGCCCAGTACACATGGGATAGGAGGCTGACTGGGCCTTAGAGCAGGTCTGAAAACTGCAGAATAGAAAAAAATCTCTTGCCCCTACCGGAAATCGAGCCCCGGCCGTCCAGCCCATCGCTCTACCGACTGAGAGGCTGATTTTGAACTCGAGGTTAAGGGTAACAGTAAAGGTAAAGTTGTCCCTGTACTTAACTAATTAAGCACTACGCCTTGAAGGCGTAAGGGGGAGTGGATGTGTAGATCCATATTTTCTTGACTTCGTCACTAGTTGCAGGAGAGTGGTCATCTTCACGTCCCGGCCTCTTTACCCTCGGGAAAAGAGCCCCCGGTACATATTTGATAGGAGGCTGGGGAGGGGGCTCAGAGCCGGTCTGGCCTACATGAAGAAGAGAAGATTCTTGATCTTATCGGGACTCGCATGGATAGCTTAGTCGGTATAGCTACTGGCTACGGGCTGGATGACCGAGGGGTCGGAGTTCGAGTCCAGACCGACTCTGGGGTCCTCCAAGCCTCACATCCAATGGATACCGGGGGCTCTTTCCCCGCGGGTAAAGCGGCAGGGGCGTGAAGCTGACCACTCACCTCCAACTAGTGCCGAGGTCAAGAAAATGTGGATCTATACTCGTACATCTACTCCCCCTACGTCTTAATGGCTCAGTGTTTAATTAGTTGAGCATAGGAACAAATTTACCTTACTTACCGGGACTCGAACTCCGACCTCTCGGTCGTCCAGCCCGTAGTCAGTCGCTATGCCGACTGCACTATCTCGGCTCCTCAAGGGGGAGCAGAACCGTGTACATGGCCGTAAAAAGTACAACCCACTGCCAGTATAGGTTACTATACCGTTATTATCTCGAGAAGCTGACGTGAACCACGAGACCCGGCAGTCCAGTCGAGACTGGAACTGATTACGTCATGAACACAATACATACATTTTGCGAAACCCGAGATATAAGACACAGTTCGCTTCGTAACACTACCTGAACGGGAAGGCCTCTGCAACGAGAAGCCACGGTATCTCCCCTTGAATGGCGTTGGAGAAGAACAGAACTGCTAGCAACATCAGTGGCACCCAGGTGGCTGCCAGGACGTTCTCATCTTCCGAGACTCTTGTGACTGGGGCGATGAACAGGTACCCGTACAGCCCAAGGAGCAGGCATGACAGGGCGCAGACAGCCGTGCTTGCCAGCGCCAGTATTCGCTTCCCGAGCCTGTTTACTGAGCCGATCATCAGCACGCTACCCATGAATGCGGCTGTCGCCATCATCACCTGAGACATGATTTCGTGCTCGTAGAATGGCAGGCTCTACTTAACAAATGGCATCCATCAGAATTCACAAAGCGTGTTGTTATATTGTATATATTTCTATCTCCGCAGACTCATTACTACTGTTGTTTTGTATTGCTAGTGGGGTGGGACCAAGTCCCTTGTACTGCGGCCACTTCTGGCCTATTGTACCAGCCCCAGATGATAGGTGAGGGTGATTGTGGAGCAATTGGTGGAATGAAGATTGGCAGGGGAAACCGAAGTACTCGGAAAAAACCTGCCCCAGCGCCACTTTGTCCACCACAAATCCCACTGGACCAGATCCGGGATCGAACCCGGGCCGCCGCTTGAGCTATGGCACAGCCCATTACTACTGCTATTCCTATTTATTTTAATTTTGTGGAGTCCCCGCTCATTTAGTCCAACATAGCCGTAAAGTTTTGTACCGTTCCATGTTTGTGATTATTGTCACGTGTTAGTGATTAGACACGGGGTTTGGATTGAAAATTGAATTTATTGAACGCCTATATCTCGTAACAAGTCACTTGAACGCTTGACCGACGCCAATTATAAACATATTATATTTTGTGGGTCGGGCTTCGCCTTTTCCAATGTAGCGAACATTTTCACTTTCTTGATTTTGTATGACCTCTGCTTGTATCTGCACAATTTCGTTATTTAATCATAAGGATGGTTGGTTGAGGGGCTATGCTACAAGCCGGAAGGTCGCGGGTTCAAGTCCCGTTGAGGTCATTGGATTTTTTTCAGTTGACCTAATCCTTCCAGCCGCACTAGGCCCTAGGGTCGACTCAGCCTCTATCAGAAATTAGTACCAGGAATTATTTAAATAATTTTCCTGGGGAGTAAAGCGCGGCCAGCAACCTTACCGCCATCTTTGAGCCGATTGTCTAGATAGTGTGGGACCCTCAACGTCTCACAACCCTATGGGCCTTCACGGCCTGGTACAGGGATAGCTTTACTTTTTACTTTTACTTTTTAAGGATACAGTACTTGGAAAGTCATGTACTCGTACAATTCTCGGACCGGTGTGCACCTTGGAAATTTGCCAATGGTACGGTGAACCTTGTTTCGCAGGCACTGCAGTTTCTTCAATTACTGCAAATGCTCATGGCAAGTCGCTATATTCACTGTCTCAGAAACTTGTATGTCGAGTCGTTAAATAATAAAGGATCACGTAATCATGTTACAATATTAATCGCAGTGTGTGAGTATGTTTACGACTATCTTCAGTCCATATTTCACGAAACTCTCTCTAGTGGTGTTAGTATCGAGAGCGAATTAAATTTTTCTCACGAGGGTCATGTTATTTTTCTTACATTCTAAGAATTTGCTTTGAGCAGTTGAATATTTCTCGAACATCTATTATTATTCATCATGTTAATACTGTAAATTAAGAAGCGCTAAGTTCTGTTCATTTCATAATTTCGCACACCGTCATGTCGTCATTGCTGATTTAAGGAAATTAGAAGGTATTGCCTTTGGATGGTAGTGGCTTAGTGGCGTAACGTTCATATCAAATTTTGTAAAGATCGGTGAAGTGGTTCAGAAGTAGAAAGGACGGCCATGCAAACAGGATAGCAATGTCATACCTACTTCATTGCACAGAGAAAAGAAAGTAGGCTGAAAGAAAACGAAAGCTGAGTAGACAAAGAATGGAATCCAAATATGATTAGAAATCAAACAGACTTTTATATTGTTATGGCATCTCTCAGCATGTAACAAAGGACCGAGATTCTCAGCGTCAGCCAAATGAGATCTTGGCATTTTCGAAAATTCTGTCTGTATCAGTTCAGTCATTTTAAGGAAATTTAACTTAATTTGGAAACGACAAGGGCTCTCAATGGGCAGTAGTCAAGTAATAAATCTCTTCCTAGGCAATTCATTTTAAGGTCAAGATACTGGAGGCATAGTAAAAGTTAAGGTAAAGTTGTCCCCGTGCTTAACTAATTAAGCACTACGCTATAAAGGCGTATGGGGTAGGGGATGTATAGATCCACATTTTCTTGACCTCGATACTAGTTGGATGTGAGTGATCAGCTTCACGCCATTGTCGCTTTATTCATGAGGAAATATCCCTCGGTACCCTTTCGATAGGAAGTTGGGTAGGCCCCGGAAACTTTCTAGACTACGAGGAGAGAAGAAAATCTTGTCCCTATTGGTACTCAAACTCTGACCCCTCAGCCATTCAGCCCATAGCCAGTCACTATACCGAATGCACTATCCCGGATCCTAAAGTAGTTCTCATAGTTTAATTAAATAAACCAAGAAATAAACAGATATCACATCAGTATGGTGCAGAATACCGTTGCTATTGTTACAAAATTATTACCTAAATTATCAGTCAGTGTGCTCGTTCAGAAATCAATGAAGACACGTGTTTCTAACGCAAACTGGACTTACCGTGCTCCATGAGCTCTCAATGGGAGAATGAAAGCTTTCGACAACTTCCACCAGGAACGGCCTAACGGACGGTATTCCTCCGAATGCGTAGAACGAGAAGAAAGATACAGTAAGAAACAGTGGACGCAGCGTTTCCCTTTCTAGAAGCATCCTGATAATTGCCGCGGGCTTGGACAGTCTTCTATCTCCATCATGGCCTCCAATAATAGCGAACTCCGGCGACAACTCTTCTCCGATCACTTCCTCTTTACCTGAAGACATGAACTCGCTTTCGTCACGGCTTACTACAGTCGCCATTCCCTTTGCCAGATCAATTCCTACTATTGGACTTCCGTCTTTATCTGAAGGCAGATGGACGTTGTCATCCGTCGCTTGATTCATTTCCTGTTGATCGTTTAACAGTTTAACATCGGTACATGGCAACAGGCTCGTTAGTTCTGGACTCTGTTTGTAATTTGACATTTTTTGTAATTCTAATGGAATGTTCTTCGCCGTATTTTTTCTCAGTCTCTGAGCAGATTTCTTTGTTGCGGTTTCGTGGTATTTCACTAATTTTTCCAGTTCGAATTGTACTGCGCTTTCATCTACCCATCCTCTTAACCAGCACAAGGCGGCTTCTGCGTCCTTTGTTCGTCCCTGGGATACCAGCCATATTGGAGATTCTGGAACCTGGTGGCAGTAGAAAATTTTTCAACAATATTGAGCATCTTTTTCCAGTTAGAATCTAACTGAGAGTGAAATTGATATATTTTTACATGTTCTTATGAAAATTTTATTTAGCAATAATTTTGAGTAAAATTACAAGGCAGATATGTGGTAATATGTGATATAATAATATTTGTGCTGTGTCTGTGATGTTCTGGGCTCCACTTATTTTTTACCAGTTTACTAATATCTAAACTTTAAAAAAATATACTCCATGATTTTATTCCGCAAGCTAACTATACCGACCGAGCGACCGCCGCTTGTCGGCGAAGTTAGTGCCAACTTTAGCGAATAGAGGTTGTCGCGTGGTCAGCGCAGCGAATCCCCACGGTCGTTAATTTCGGATTTCTAGACCGGAGCCGCTCTTTCCTTGAAATAGCTCCTCAAGTATCATCACGAGGCTGAGTGGACCCCGTTCCAGACCCACTACTGCTCAGGAAAAATCTGGTAGTGCCAGGAATCGAACCCGGACCTCTGGATTTGTAGCCAGGAATGCTGACCACTAGACCACAGAGGCCTCTAAACTTTTAACAGATACTAATTATTTTAATGTCTGTTTCGTGAAATAAGCTTTTGACTCTCAAGTGTTGGAATGTGAATTTAGAGACCGGATTTGGACGATCCGATAATTCGTTGCCACAAATTCTTGTGAAGAGAAACTGCGCGGAAGATTCCACTGCTAGCAATGGTTACCGTGCAGGATGTTAATTCTGTAGACCTTATAATCCGCAAGGTCGTGTCTTCACTCACCATACTCAGCATTAATATGGTGACTATCGGGATCACGGCCACAATTCCTGCCGAGGTCCTCCAGCTCGTCATGCTGCCCAGAACAAACAGCGTGAACATCCCCACCTGGTAGAAAATTGCTGTAACATATGCACCAAATTTGAAACTACTCCATTAACTGACTGACTCGATGGAACAGAGCCCTTCTAGAGACTCTAATTGCTCTAATCAAGAAATTATCTGCCTTTTTTGGATCCCGAAGGCTCTTTACCTTGGCCACAAGAACCAACTTCCAAATCCTATTCTAGTCCATAGGACTCCAGTCCAGAAAGTCTCGCACTATTTAAGGAATATTTTCATATTATTCTACAATCTCCGAAGTCTTTAAGATGAGACCTTAGGGTTCTCCGATCAAATTGTGTATTAATTTCTTACCTCTCCCATGCGTACTACATGCTTCACCAATCTCATTCTCGTAGGTTTAATCATCCTAATAGTACTCGATGAAAAGTACAAATTAAGAAGTTCCGCATTACGAGTTTTCCTTCGTCCTCCTTTTAACTCATCTCCATATCATCCGAACATTCCCCTCAGCACCCTCATCACAAACACCTTCAGTCTCTGTCCTTCCCTTAATGTGACACACAATTTTACGTCCAACAAAATAACCTACGTCTTACAAATATAAATCACTCCGTCCAATGTGACCTGTAAGATTTTTACTACGTGAAAACTTAACGCCCTTACATGTTTCGGTCTCTGTGGACCATCTTCAGAGGGCAAACATCACTACAAATAGCAAACCACCATACATAAGTTTAGACGTAAAGTACGTACACTTATATGCTACAATACATAGTACACAAAATAGAACATTTCACAAACACAGCAGTTTCCTGGGAATCTAAAGTTTTTTTGTAAAACTGTATAAAATTTCTTGATGCTAATTAACAAATCAAACCTAAGTCTTATATATCTTAATTTTACAGTTTTAGATATGGTAAACTAGAAATGGTAAATTAGTAAATATTCGCCGAATTTACTAGTCTATTGATTTTTGTGGGGGGGGGCACGCGGTAGCGATTTTTGTTGAGGCATTCTGCTACAAGCCGGAAGGTCACGGGATGGAATCCCGATGAGGTGGATTTTTTTTTTAATTTACCTAATCCTTCAAGCCTCACTATGGCACTGGGGTTAACTCAGCCTCTAACAGAAATTAGTACCAGGAATATTCCTGGGGATAAAGGGTGGTCGGTGCATAAGGCTAACCTCACCGTCATTTATGAGTCGATTATCTAGAAAGTGTGGGAGCCTCGACGTCTCACAACCTTATGGGCCTCCACGGCCTGTTACAATTATACCTTCACTTTACTTTTACTTTAATTGTTTTTTCTCTATGTATATTTTGATTTGTTGCTGCAGTTCCCACGTAATGCATATTAAAGAAACGATACAGACTGAGCATGTTTGAGAACAGGATGCTGAGAAGAACGTTTTTGGACCTAGGAGGAAGAAATTAACAGGAAGTTGAAACAAGTTCAACGATGAGGAACTTCATGATTTGCAGGCCTCATGAAATACTCGTAGTATCAAAATAATAACATCAAGAATATCTCGATGGTGGGGGAACGTAGCAAATACATGTATGAGACATAAGAAAAAAAGCATACACTTTTCTTAGGAAAACATGAAATAAAGGGACAGTTTGGAAGACCTAGGCTTAGATGCAGGATAAGAGAGTTGATCCATAGAAATAGGGTGGGATGTTACGGAACGGATTCATATCTCTGGTGTACTTATGTGAACACGGTAATGAACTTTAAGGTTTCATAAAACACAGTGAATTTCATGGCAGCTGAACAATTATTAGAATTTCAATAAGGACTTGGTTCCCTGTGGCAGATTCCTTTCCATACAATTCGAAATTTTCCACACTTTCCAAGAACTGATTAGATATTTTTATACCATGATTTTGCCCTTAAATCTGATGAGGACTCGTGAGTATGTGCAAAAAAAATGAGTGTATTACTTTACCTCCGCTGCCTGTCAGGATACTGCGCAGGCTTGGCTGACAGATCTCGCCAAAATAGCTGTTGAGGGGGGCCTCACACAAGCCGACCGTAGTGCCTAGCAGCGTGTTAGCGAGAACGAGTACGGTGATCGAGGGGGCCGTACTAATCAATATGCAGCCCACAAAATATGGGATGTTGATGATCATCAGGAACCTCTTCCGGCCAAGCCATTGTACTATGAACCCGGACGCCAGGCTCCCAATTGGCTGACAGAAGAACGGCAGACTACCTACAAGAACAGGACAACAAGCAACTGTTGAGAAATGTCGCTTGGAAACAATTTTTGTATGTGAACAAGTACCACACTTCTCACTCAATATAATCACAGAGGATAATATTACAAAAATATTTAAATAAATCAAACCAAATCACGAAAAATGAAGCTGTCTCGGAAAAATAAACCTCGTTATAAAAGCCATTGGAGCGCGAAAATGAATTCTCGTAAATTTCGCGATCGTTGTAATTTATTAAGCTTGCTTTGAATTTGAAGCAATGAAATGCAAATTAATGACTCTTCCATATAGAATTTCAGCAGAATATGTGAAATTGGATATATGATAAATTGGATTTATGGTGTTACGCCATGTATAAATTTTATGACTTTTTTAGTGAATGTCACAGATTTAAACAAAATCTCTAAGATGGTTTTTGGTATCTATGGAAAAAGTTTATTTATGGCTTTATGAAAAAGGAACTTTTTTTACAGATTAATATAGATAAAAATTGGAATTTCAAAATGAATTTAAGTGAAAGCTTTTATGTCAATTTTTAATTAAATGAATACACCAACTTAGACCCTAATACTAGGCCTCAGACAGACGACTCGATATTACTTCATATAAGGTGTGCTTCGTATAGAACTCCTAAACCTATCTTCTCTGACGACAACCAAGCGCATCGACTTAAAGCCTATCTCAGAAAACAGGGCTTCGAATGACAGAATGAGTAGTGAACAATGAATTGGAAGTGAAGGAGAAGGAAGTGTTCATGACCTGTCTTGAGGCTCTACCCTGGCCTTCACCTGGAAGGACCGAAAATTGCTATGCACGTTCTAAAACTGGGCAGCGAATCTTTGGGTGCTACCCTCTGGCCCACAATGTTCCGTACTTGCTGATGTTAAAATACTTAGATTTCCTCTGTGTCATTTGGTCCGGGCTGTCCTTGAACTCACCTTATCTCCTTTGAAAAGAATAAAGGGTGATAGAGCGGTCGCAGCGTTAATCTGACAACTTAACCCCTCCTGGAGCCGAGGTCTTGAATTTCCCTATACGCCTTTTTGACACCGTACTTGGATGAAAGTAAAAGCTGACTTAAACTTAATGTCGGGATGGCGCAATCGGTATAGCGACTGGATACTGGCTGGACGACCAAGAGGTTGGAGTTCGAGTCCCGGTTAGGTCAAGAAATTTCTCTTCTCCACGTCGTCCAGACCCGTTCTGGGGCCCACTCAGCCTCGTATCCAAAGGGTACCGGGGCTCTATCCCCGGGAGTAAAGAGGATGGGACTTGAAACTGACCACTCAACTCCAAATAGTGCCAAAGTCAGGAATACGTGGGTTCATACATCCACTCCCCCACGCGCCTTCATGGAGTAGTGTTTAATTAGTTAAGCAGCGCTACAGAAAATGAATTTTCATTTTCCTCGCTCATGTCTGATTAGGAAAACAAATCTACGAGTAGTTTTGGAAGTATTGTTTTCAATGAATTCTGACACGATAAACACAACAGTAGCCAGGTTTAACATGATAAGGACTTTAATGTGTTTGTTTACTTGCGGTTAGTCTAGTGACGTCATTTCCGGCTCAGACTAGTCCCCGCTACGGTCTAGCAAGTATTGGAAGTCAAAGGCTAAGATAACGGCTCTATGTATGTAGTGTCTAAACCAATGAGGTAAATCAGAACGCTACTGGGTAATCCCCTTAACACCCACAGATTTCTCAAACACGGCGCTGTAGGTCATTTGCAGACATCCTGCGTGGGTTATATGCTGTGGCTCTCTTGGCTTCACTGTCAGGGCTGAATCTATATCCTAGTAGCCCTCGCTTAAGTTTGCAAATGCCAAGAAATCACAAGTGACGATGTCTGGACCGTCTGGACGGTCTGGAGTGTAGGGTTGGTGTCAAACGCATGCTCTGCCGATACCCGTAAGCCCCTCCGTTCTCACGCGGGCATCTTCTTGAAGCAGTAGCGACCGTCCCACCAGGAAATGCAGCTTCTCTCTTTTAGCTTACTTCTCTTATTTCGAAAAAGAAATTAAAGTGGCTTATGAGATAACCTTGCCTTCTATGTTGCCTGTATGTGTGTCTGTGTCCGTATGTGTACCCCCTCATCCATTTTCGAATGTCTGAACCAATGTTTATTAAACTTGGCTTGTATGTCATTGCACTTAAGGCTATCTCAACGACCTACTTCATAAATCCTTCCCATTAGTCTGTGTGTCTGTCTCTTCTTGCTTTCTTATTCATTCTATTCTTCGAGCTTGAAAATTGAGGCATTTCCTTTCTCCGAGGTGTTGGTACCTATTCACTAGCACTGATAGCGTCTCATCTCAGAAGATAGTACTTTTAATTATTCATTAATTATTCTATCATTAAAAAAATTGTAATCTGATATAGCGATAGCGTATTTAAAGAGAACATAAGTAAATGAAAAAATAAATAGGAATGTAAATAGATAAGTAGATAAATAGGTACTTAAATACAAATTTGTAAATAAATACATTGATGAATATATAGATATATTATGTATTTAATATATTTAAGTAAATAAAACATGAGGTAGTTCCCTTGTCACTACTGAATTGTGGGTCCGCAGGTAACGGATGAAGTGGACTGCCTCCAGTTATGGAGGGTAGCTGCAAATATATTGAATAAGTAGTCGCGGACAGTCGACAAGGGGTGGCCCACCACCTTAAGGGTTGGGCGTGAGACTAACAATTTCTCACCGTAAAAAAATAAGCTTGTTACGAAATGTCACAAAAAGACCTCGGACTTTGATGGATTATTTGGATAAAGGACCTAAACTAAAGCAAATTGACATGAAAGTTGGTATGTGGAATGTAAGGAGTCTGTATGGGTCAGGTACGCTCATGCGAGTTTCGAATGAAATAGCGAAGTTAGATTTAGCGGCAATACGGGAAGCCACGTGGGACGGAGGTGGCACCGAACCAGCAGGTGAATATGTACGATATATTTGTATGAAATGGGACTGAGAATCATGAATTATTTACAGGTTTTTGTATATAATAATATCAGCAATTAAGAGGGTAGAGTCTGTTAGTGATGGGCTGTCATACATAAGGTCGCTGGTGTGATACCATTGTTCTTAATATCCTTGCCTCAGCAAAGATAGAATTGTGTATATGGAGGACAGTCTCTACGAGACGCTAGAACGCGTACTTGTCAAATGTCCTAAATGTCATATGGAAATTTTTTTACGAGACTTCAATGTCAAAGTAGATAAGATATTTTGAAACCAAGAACCGGGACCGAGGGTCCACACGAAAATAATATTGATAATGGGATTAGGTTAGTAAACTTTGCCATTTACGTAAGTATAATTGTCAAAGTACCATGTTCCCACATCGTAATATTAATAAATTTACTTTGACATTGGGCCGCGCCATAGCTGAAGCGGTTAGTCGCCGGCTTCCCACCGCGGCGGCCCGGGTTCGATCCCGGGTCTGGTTAAGTGGGATTTGTGGTGGACAAAGAGGTGCTTGGGCGGGTTTTCTCTGATCACTATCTGGTGGTGGCAAAATTTAGGGAGAGACTGGCAGTGAGTAAATAAACAACTCACACAGTTCATATGGAGAGAGTCAATGTCAAGAAATTAAATGAGGTAGAGAGTAAGGAGCAGTATCATGTTGAAATTGCAAATAGATTTTCAGCTTTGGAAAACTTAGACACTAAAGTGGATATTAATAGAGCTTGGGAAACTATTAGAGAGAATATAAAAATTTCAGACAGGAACCCAGTGAAATAAATGGGGATAATCTGAACAATATAAGACGTGAAACCAGCAGGCATTTCAGGAACAAAAAGAGGGAATATCTGAAAGACAAAATTGATGAGCTTGCAATGAGCAGTAAGAACAAGAACATTAGCGATCCGTATAGAGGAATAAATAATTTGAGAGAGGTTACTAACTTAGTAATTTAGTGAAAGATGAGAATGGTTATCTGCTTGTAGATTCCCACAACATTTTGAATAGCTGGAGGAACTACTTCTCTGTTACTGAATGTAGATAGGGTCAGTGATGTTAGGCAGATAGAAATCCATACAGCTGAGCCCTTGATATCTGATACTAGCCCTTTCCAGTTTGAAAATGCTATTGCAAATTTGAAACGTTATAAATCGCCAGGTAGTGATCAAATTCCGGCAGATGTTATTCAAGCAGGAGGTGAAATATTACGGTCTAAGATCCATGAGCTAATTAAAATTCTATTTCGAATGAGGAAAAATTACCTGATCAGTGGAAGGAGTTCACAAGAAGGGTGATAAAACTTACTGTAGTAATTATTGTAGGATATCACTGCAATCAACTTCATACAGAACTTTATTCAATATTCTTCTCTCAGGCTTAAGTCCATACATAGATAAAGTTATTGGGGATCATCAATGTGTGTTTCAATGTAATAGATCAACTACTGATCATATTTTTTCATTCGTCAGATATTGGAGAAAAAGTGGGAGCACAATGAGACAGTACATCAGCTATTTTTAGACTTCAAGAAAGCCTAAAATTCAGTTAGGAGGGAAGTATTGTACAATATTCTGATAGAGTTTGGGATATCCATGAAACTAGTTGGGCTGATTAAAATGTGTTTTAACGAAGCGTATAGTAAAGTCCGTATAGGTAAACATTTGTTTGATAATTTCCCTATCAAGAATGGTCTAAGACAAGGAGATGCTTTATCGCCACTGCTTTTCAACTTTGTTTTAGAATATGCCATTAGGAAGGTCTAGGAAAAGCAGGTAGGACTGAAATTAAATGGGACACATCAGCTGTTAGGCTCACAATGTGAATCGATTGGATGATAATATAGATACTCTAAAGAAAATCACATTAATTTTAATTGACGCACGTAAAGAGGTTGTTATAGAAATAAACACAGAGCAAACTATGTGTAAGTTGCTAACTCGCTACCAAAATGCAGGGCAGAATAATGACGTAAAGATAGGTAACAGATGAAGAAAGACGACTTTCTTCATTGTCATCGCCGTGAAAACCTCAAAACTTACATAGGTAACAGATGTTTTGAAAATGTGACACAGTTCAGATATTTTGGAACGACTATAACAAATCAAAACCTGATTCAGGAGGAAATTAAAAGGAGATTGAACTCGGGTAATGATTGCTATAGTTCAGTCCAGAATCTTTTGTCTTCTCGTCTGCTGTCTATAAACAAAACAATGAGAACATACAAAACTATAATTTTGTTTGTGGTTATGTATGGATGTGAAACTTGGTCTCTGACATTAAGGGAGTTACATAGACTAAGGGTGTTTGAGAACAGAGTGTTGAGGAAAATATTAGGACCGAAGAGAGATGAAGTGACAGGAGGTTGTAGAAAATTGCATAATGAGGAGATTCATAACTTGTACTCTTCTCCAAATATAATTAGAATGATCAAGCCAGGGATAATGAGATGGGCAGAGCATGTAGAACGAATGTGGGCGAAAAGGAATGCATATAGGATATTGGTGGGAAGACCAGAAGGAAGTATACCACTAGGAATACCAAAATGTAGGTGGGTGGACAATATTAAAATGGGTCGTAGATATGATGGGATGGTATGGACTGGAATGAACTGCCTCGGGATAAGGACCAGTCGTGGACTCTTGTGAGCACGGTAATGAACCTTCTGGTTCCATAACATTTTATGAAATTCTTGAGTAGCTTCTCAACTGGAGTTAGTTAGTTAAGTAAGTAACCAAAATAATATATATATATACGTATATATAAATAAGGAATATGAATGTGAATAAATGGATGAATAAGCAGAAGATGCGTGAGAAATGAATAGATAAATGAAAACATAAGCAGATACGAGTAAGTTAGTGAACAAACAAATAAGAGAATTCGAAGGCTCACCAAACCAGGAAGCCACTGTATCATCCATGGAGAGATCCACCCCTGAGCGGTGTAAGCTGGCGATAACGAGAGTGGACAGTGAGAAGGGCAGTGCCAGGTTCACCATCATCATGTTTGCAGCACACATGGCCAGCACCTGCCCCAAATTGTTAACGTTTCATTTTCATTAAATTGACAATATGTAATCACAAGACTGCTTACACGAACTCCAAATTATAGCAAATTACATTTATGCTATGCTTACACGCTTTTACCTATAACAAGTCATATATATGAAGTTTGATTCTGAAAAACTTTATGGAACAGACAACTTGCAAGACCTGGACGTAGATGGGAGGATAATATTAATTGAGGGTGGGAGGATGTGAAGTGGATGGTCTCAAGATATAGATGAGTGTCTAGCTCTTATGAAGAGAGCAGTTAACCTTCGGAATGCATAAAAAGTAAGGGATTTCTGACTAGCTGAAAAACTCTTGTCTTCTCAAGAATTATTTCGCTCGATGGAGACAATTAGTTGGGTTAGCAGTTCATCTCCAGGCTGGTCTCCATGTTAACAATGTTTCAGGTTTACTGGTTATGTAACATGTACTGATAAGTTTTAGTTCTGCGTAGAGAGTTTGGTGAATAAACGAAGTGTTGCTTCATGTACTCATAATCCAGTCATGACATAAATACGTGTATAATATAAAATACTAGATTCAAGAAGCTATTGTAAACAAGAATATTCCATGAAAATGGCGGCAACAGCTGATGACAGAGAGACTCTTAGTGACAGATCCACTTACCCTCAGAATTATAGATGCAGCACTCTTTCGTCGCACTGTGTTTCCATAATGTCACGCGGCAGCGTTGCGATTTTATTGTAGAGAGATATCAAGATCGAACACACAGTAAGACTCATGTTCTTCTTTTAATCTCGTAATTTCCCATGAAACGGAAGACATTTTTTTCATTTTGCAGTAGCACTTGGTATTGTATGCAGCATTTTGTCACGTAATATGAGTGACTATCGACGGGGTTTGGAAATTAACATCCGATTTCTTGACCAATTTGTCACGTAACTCGTAATTACTCTTAATTACAGCGCCATCACTGATTTCTACATTTTACAAGTATTTTCCAGCCCACAGTGTCTTCATTAGTAGTTGCCTGGTAACGGCTCCAACAACGACTATTCCTCTGCTTCTGTGCTCAAGTCATCTCTGACCGGCGATTCCCTTCCAACTGTATGCCTTACTTACAACTGAGTAGCGGCCATGACACACCAACCTCCTAGTCTTCTCTTCACAGACTGATTATCAACTGAGCACTCTCACGACTGAATAGTTGCCCCAAACCATTTTGGTTATAACATCTCGGCATGGACCACGTAGAAAACACCGTTCCTTTCTTACTGTACCATTGTTGCGTTCGTGTCCTTCACTGCGGGAACGTGTTTACCGGGCCGTTGCCCAGAAACGGTTCTACGCGCTATAATATTTATTAAAGTTACTTAGAAATACTTGTACTTAATGATGACTTTATGTCTTGCCCGTCTTATTTTAGTTTCAATTACAATTTGTAGTCTTTTGTATTAAGTCATAACATATATAATAAAGCAATGCAATCATTCATATTGTGTTTCGTTGTTAAAGTGCGTTGATTTTTGTGGAATTCACAATGGACATAAAATTAGTCGTGTACTACAGAGTTTTGAAAAAATTTATAATATTAAATGTGTATAGGAAGGCCGGTAAGAGATAAGAATATTTTCATTTGCATGGTTCTGTTGGAGAGAAATATTTCTTGAATCAGAAATTTTGCTGGGTACTAAAACAAATGCATAATACCAATATGCTATATTATATATTTGCATGCAAACATTATTCGATAATCTGTGTTTAATCATCTGCTTCTTTTGTTTGAAATCAGTGACACCACAAAAATCTTCGGAAATTCATCTCGGAGTTTGTCCTTTAGAATTGCGTAAGTTCTACTGGTTTGACGTAATCCCTTTCATGAAACGTAATAGTCGCCAATAGATCTCATGTGCTTCCGACTGACATGATTATATCTAAACATGTAAGAAGCCGGAATATCTTTTAAGCCTATATCATATTCATGTAATATCCATCATAATTTTACTCTCCGCCCTCTTAATATTCTGGTAAATATTTCTCTTTCTTCGGGTCTTCAGGCTGCAGGTTCCTCACCTAATAAAATTATGCTTTGGAGATTATTTGAATTTAGGACTACGGAGGGCGTCATATTCGAAGGCGATCTTAATATTTACCAATGTCAGAATATAAAATATCCCATTTTAATAATATTTGGTGAAGAATATCTGTCGTCTGACAGATTACTGATGAAATGAAGCCTGTATGCTAGTGATTGTGTATTTGTTTCCATCCTCCTACCACTACATATCTTTTTTTCCTTGGCACTACAGCCCCAGTGGGCCTAGGCCTACCTCCATGAACTCCGTTCACTTCGGTTTTTCTAGATCTTACACAGACGGTAGGACTCCTTGGGCGAGTGATCACCTCGTCGCAAGGCCTCTCTACCTTTAGACAAACAAAGAAAAACGCACACAAACATCCATGCCCTGAGTGGGATTCGAACCCACGATCCCGGCTTCCGAGCGAGCGAAGACAGTGCATGCCTTAAGACCGCTCGGCTACCGTGACCGGCAGTGTATAAGAATAATATATAAGAATTGGGTTCGTACCTCACAGGAAACAGATCCGAACCCACGATCCCGGTTTCCGAGCGAGCGAAGACAGTGCATGCCTTAGACCGCTCGGCTACCGTGACCGGCCTTCATATCTCTTAGACCCAAATATTCTTAGCACGCTGTTCTCAGAACAACCTCATTCTGCACGGGCTCATGGGGGTCTAAACAACTGTAGGATTAGTGAGTGGCGCCATGAGCTAAGCTTCCATCGATGCTGAACCTTTTGAAAGTCGCATATAATTAAGTCGGTTAATTGGCGTCGCTGTGCAAATATTTACTGTAGATGTAGGTATTAGAATTTTCCTGCATTCCGTTTTATGATATAATTGTTTTATTGCCTTTTGTCTGCACTGCACGATTTTATTTAACATTAAAGATTACTTCTGAAATTCGAGAAAAATTTGGTTCAAATACAGGTTACTATTATGTTGTTCTGACTGCAGTATGTTGCGATTTCTACTTCGTAAAACACCAGAACAACACATTAATATACACATATCAAATTAAGTCTAATATTGTGATGGTTACAAATGCTGGACCAGTATGGAAGTGAATTTCAAATGAAAAAAAAAAACTGGACCCAATGAAATAATCTATCTCCATGGAACAGAGCCGTTCTTAATTGATAGTCGCTCAGCTTTCCATAAATCGCGAACTTTATAGAATCCCAATATATATTACCTTTTTCGCAAAATCCGAAACCGGAGCTTATCCCTGAAACACAAGGGCCCAGTCCACATTACCCCACCCTACTGCATTAAGATTCATTTCAGTATTATTTTGCCATTTATGACTTCGTCTTCCAAGTGCTCTTTTTCCTTCGTGTCCGAAAAATTTGTGCACATCTCTCATCTCATCCACTCACGCTACATGTCCCATCTATCTTATTCCTTTTGAGTTAATGTGGTAAAGCTATCCCTGTAACAGGCCATGGAGGCCCATAGGGTTGTGACACTTTGAGGCTCCCACATTATCTAGACAATTGGCTCACAGATGGCGGTAAGGTTTACCCCCCAGGAAGATTTCTGGTACTCATTTGTGTTAGAGGCTGAGTCGACTCCAAGGCCATAGTGCAGCTGGAAAGATAAGGTAAATTTAAAAAATCCACTTCATCGGGACTCGAACAAGCGACTTTCCGGCTTGTAGCATAGTGCCTCAACAAATTACTCTACCCCGTGCCCCAAATTAATGTGGTGGAATGTCATATGCAAAAATAATGTGTGCCTTGAAGACTTAACACTCCTGAATTTATATTCCACGTGAGGATTGCCAAATTATGAGGAATTGTGGCAACAATAGAAGAGAGATACCTGAGGTAACGCTTCCCTGAAGCGACTCACAGTCCTGATTTGTGTCGAGTGTGTTGGCAAAGCTTCTGTATCCATGGTCCTGTAACAGGAACCAGTTCAGTTCACCATTGATATCCTGCCTTTGGCAGTTGCTGTTCAGAAGAGATTCGGATATGAAATAGACACAGAAGAACATGTCATTACTTACATCATAGTGCCTGTGGAGTGGTTACTAGCCTCCATGGTTCTTATGCTAGCTGCAATATACGTAAGTAACTGAAACATTGAGAGAACTTAATAGGGTATATAGATTCGACCAACGCATGACAACAATTTATGGTGTGACTCAACTGGTTTTGGGGACAGATAATGTCTCTGTAATAACACTTCGAAACTCTCTCATAATCAGAGTCATAAATCATCACATTATCGTTTGAAAGCCGCTAGATATTTTGAGCATATATTAACTGAACAGAAGAGTATCTTTACCCTATATTTCACTCAAAATATGGCTGTGTAAACATGGGGTCGTTGTAAAATTTTGATTCTTGGCATATTTAACTACTCTATCAGTAGCCCACAATATATGGAGTGAAATATTTGGATGGTCAATCAATAATAAACTGGAAAGAATGTGGGAGGAAGCCGCCTGGGTCTCATTTAAAATATTAACATGAAATTTTGCTTGAAGTGACTGATAAATACGGGAAAATCCTCCGGGTGTTTTGTCGGTTTCCGGGCCGATGTCTGAATATAAGACGTCTCGAGCACGAAGTGGGATCTCTTCTCATTCCATTGCGACGTGTAAAAGAGTGAAGGAATGAACTGTACTCTTAATAAGTCCCATGATGCGAGGGAGAGTCAGTAAAGAGACCACAAATCGATATGAGATATGAGACGTAAAATATGCGATATTCGGACCGGGAAGAAACATTTATCTCTCGACATGTCCTCCACCAACATGAATACACGTTTCCCATCTCCTTACTAGTGAGGTCGAAATCCGAAGAATAAAAGTCTTTTGATTGTTGTCTCAGCCATTTCCGTCTCAAAGTCCTCTTCATCAGCGAAACGTTTGCCACTCAGTTGTGAACTCCTTTACGCGACAAACACTTCCCAACGTAAACAGGAAATATTTCTTTATTAATAATATCCTTTGCATTGACTCATGTTATCCAAATAAACGCACCACAGTGCGCTGTTCTACGGTAGTATACTCCTCAAGCACGGTCGCCAGTTTTGACTATTGAAACCAGTCTCTGAACATGCGCATGCGCGTCTGCTACCTAGACTCTCATGAAATTTGACTGTACTGCTACATAGTGGCACACACAGAAAACCTATTACGTCATTCACAGCTGTTTTACTTCCTTTTGTGTCCTATTTACTGACTAACAGTATATAGGTTTATATAAAATTGTATAGATATAAAGAGTGAACTTGAAGTCCCGTGGCAAAAGTTTAGGAGGTTGTTCGAGTCATAATTTGTAGCATGAATTATTATAAATTATTGTTAGATTAATCACCGTTGTCTGGTTACATATCTCGTCACTTTTTGAGAAAGCAAAATAGTTGTCTGCTCACCAATATATTCCATTATTTACATTCAGCAACTTTATTTATATTTTTCGGTTCAAGTTTTGGATTACGTTTAACACGAACGTCAGAACGTGAGAAGAGTTCACACACAGTTCTGTCTACTCCTTCAGAGTAACTGTTCAGAATTACCTCCTCCAGCTGGAACGTACATTTCACAGCGACGCCAAATGGTGTCTCTGAGAAGAATATGTTGTCCAAATTGGCCTGTAGCAGCTGCCAGGATGCAACTCATAAGGTCGTCGCTATCTGGTTTTTCTGTAGCATAGATTTCTTCTTCTATGCATAGCACAAGAATAAATTGAGTGGGATGAGGTCAGGAGAGCGCAGAGTCCAGAACATCGGGCCCGATCGATATGTAGTTTGACCCATAGCATACTTGGTGTGAAGCATGTTGAGGAGACACTCATACAGAAACTTCGTGCCCTCGCAGGCGTTGAGGGATACATAGGAGTGTTCTTTCAAGCGAACTGTTATACTATACTCCACCTAGATGATTGCTTGTCGCCTGCACGTGGCCCAATTAGGTAACCATTTCTGACTCTGGCCCAAACTAGTTAAATCTCTGTTAGAAATTAATAGCGTCGAATGGCATGAGAATTTCACGGTGCCCATACCTGTAGGTTGTGGACCGTATTCACTCTTATGAAAGATGTTTCATCAGGCCGTACTACACGACACAAAAACTCGAGTTCTTCCATAATTTTGTGTAGAAGTAATAAACGAAAATGGAGCTGAGAGTTATTGTCCTCTTACTGTAGGCGTAGCACAAATTGTACATGAATTTGATGCAGAAGCCCCTCATCCAATGCATACCAAATGTGCGACCCGACGGATGCCAGCCAGTGAATTTTCATGTATGTATGTAAGTGTGAAAAAGGTGGGCCAAAAAAACCGGCCCCCGCACTGCGATCTTCAATGATCTATTGTACTTCCCCATGCATTAGCCCTTTATTGATCCTACACTTTTAATAAGGTGTAGGACCCTGCTTATGGGGGCGTCATAAAAATCACTTGGTTCCATAAGAAGTGACCCAAGTGACGAAATCTTGTGTGAGCTGCGGCCTCACAGTCACACAGGATGTGTGTAGCTGATTCGTCTTCTTGTAGGCACCTTTCACACGTTGGGTTACCTGTCAGTCCCAACTTGGAAAGGTGTCCTTTTAGGTGGCAGTGTCCGGTAAGTAATCCTACCACCCATCTGAGTTGATCTGAATTCGCATGTAAGTACAGCATCAGACATTTGCCCTCTAACCGTCCTCCTGAACTTCATTCGATTTTAATTTATATTTACCGGAGCTTCCGTCTTTCAGCTCCTTGGGGGAGTTTCGGCGTAGTGGTGGGTGGTAGAGGAGAGGCGGATAGGTATCTCAGTATCTGTCGGCTAGTGAATGAGAACTCACGGATGGGGGAGAACAGAAATGCATATAGGATATTGGTGGGAAAGCCAGAAGGAAAGAAACCACTGGGAACACCAAGACGTAGGTGGGTGAATAATATTAAAATAGATTCTAGAGAGATAGGATGGGATGGTATGGATTGGATTGAACTGGCTCAGGATAGTAAGCAGTTGAGGGCTCTTGTGAACACGGTAATGAACCTTCGGGTTCCATAAAATTGTGAAAAATTCTTGAGTAACTGCAGAATTTTCGGTTTCTCAAGAAGTTGGAGAAACAAGCGGTAAGCCCCCCCCCCCGGTCAAATAAAGAATAAATCGAAATATTGTTTACTCAGTACTAGAACCTTAATTTGATGTCTTTGATATGGAGTCGAACACAAACTTGGAGTCCCTCTTTGCTTAGTAGTCGCCGGTTTATTTCCCTTGTTTAAAATCTCTACGTCGAATCACCGAAACTTGGGTTTAATTCTTCACAGAAGGTTCTTGTTCGGAACGGAATTCCGCAACGGATAAATGAAGTTGCGTTAACTTTGCGAGTTGAGGGCCCAGAAGTCAGCACGCAGCGCTCTTAACGTATTGCGGTGTATGTCCGTAACCGTTTTGGAGATCGAACCCGCTGAATTCTCAGTATGAATACATTTGTCTTTCCCATTGGTCCACCAATAAGAAGTCTGCATTTTTATGGTCACGGCAGAGATTCGAAACTACTTTCGCTCTTGTTGCTATGTTTTCACCAGAATTAGTGTGAGCTTGGTCGTGTGAAGTTACTAAGGCTTCAGCACATGAAAATGAAAGAGGGTAAAGGCTAGAATTCTGAACTCTCCTAACTCCCAAACGGTAGTATATCGAACAGCCTTTTGTTTATTTCAAGCTCCAAGTGATTTATTCAGAGACCATATTTATACTTTTGAATCAAAGCACAATGCTTGATACACTGTTCAGTGACTCAATTATTACTTCAGATTTTATTTGGTGACATTATTGTAACTTCGTATTATATATTTTTCGACTGGCATGAATACCCTATCAGTTTCATAGTAGGCATATTGACTGACATTCTAATCTCGAAATGCACCCCAAGGGCTATAACATATAAGCGTCGATGACAATGAAATATGTGCAGTGTCCAAATATCAAAGTCCTGATAACCGCGATAATTTCCTGTTGAAAATTCGTCAGGTGTTATGCAAGTAATGAAAGATAGCTGGCTTACTAACCTCTGCAGCTGATACGTCTTCGTTGAAGAACACGTCGATCGAGAATCGCCAGAAATGAGGGAATGAGGTGAGTTAGAAATGACTGCTGAGGAAATATATGCACTCTGTTTCAAAAACTCTTCACTGTTTTTACGCAGGAGGGAGGATTAAAACCATGTAACTCCCTAGAAGTGTCTATACTCGAACCCGGTAGTTCTTCACTGCAAATCAACATATTACCTTCTGATTTAATCCACTCAGAAACTCAGCCCAGTTACTGACACATATGTGTGTCGCAGCTGCGTACATTTTCCCTTGAATTTGACAGCGATGAAGTGACACTGACCTCTTTTATTACTCTTCGTGTTCTTGACTCCTTGTCATAAGAAATGTATTATGGATAACCTCCAATTAAGTTCCTGGGGTGTCAAACGTTGTTTGCTGGCTTTTTTTTATTGCTAGTGAGGTGGGACTAAGTGCCTTGTACTGCGGCCACTTCTGGCCTATTGTCATAGCCCCAGATGACAGGTGAGGGTGAACCTTTGGGTTCCATAAAATGCTGGGAAATTCTTGAGTAGCCGCAGAATTTTCACAAACACATACAGGATAACATCAAAGAACCCTCTTCTCGAGAACAAGGCGGCACACGTTCGGCCCCCGGCAAGAGAAATAGAAAGAAAAAGGACACGAAACTACTTGGTTTATAAGTTCCAGTAAAATAGTAACAAACCTATTACAAATATTTTAATGTATTGGAACAGCCGCTGTAGTTGTAAAAAATTTAGATTTTATACCCAATTGTACATTATTAACATTATATGTATATATTTTATCGTTCAGAACATATATTGTAATAGTGACTTCCAACTGTATTGATGTAAAGGTGTCCCTCTGATGATGGTCTCTGAAGACGGAAACTTGTACGGGAAAGAATAATTAAAATAAATATCTCCGCCAGTCACACTAGACGGAACCGTTTAACTTTTCATGATATTGTTAGTGTGACGGACCAGAATGAAACAAATCAAATGCTAATTAGATATAAATTAAGTAAAATTTGTCACCCAGAATATGATTGCTTCGTTAGTATCATGTTA